ATTAGCTCTCCTAAGTTTGTATTGTTGTGAATTGCCATTGAATTGGTTCTGACTCATAGAGACCCTGGATAGGGTTTCCAAGGAGCACTTGGCAGATTTGAACTGCTGACCTTGTGGTTTGCAGTCCAGTGCTGATCCCACAGTGCCACACTCCGTGAATATTCCACTTGAGTACAACAAACTTTTGTGTCTTTAACATTTGGACTGAGTTCACAGATATCCATCTCATGCATTTCTGGCTTAGTAAGTCATTTTCTGCTTTGAAAATTACTTGTTTTAACCTCTGAGTTTTCATTAAAAACAAAAACACAAAAAGGAGATAAGAAATCAGAAAGTGAAAGGAAAGAGGAATTTTCCTTGTTTCCATGAAGTAAAGTAGATCGCTTTAGTTCTTAAGCATTCCTGTGAGATAATGAAAGCAGCTGGTGCCAGACTTGAAGAAGGAAACTGCAAACCCTGTTAGGAAGGGATCGAGATGCCGTGATCATTGAGAAGGAAATGCAGCCTCGACAGGGAAAGCTGTGACATATGACTCAGCGAGTTGCCTCCAAAACCCTCCAGAGAAAAATATTCTCTCTATACTCTAGAATGAGAGCAGATGGAATTCCCTACTGTTCTTTTTAGAGATTTAGGAATTCCCTGTTTGAACAGGGATGGAAGCGAAAACCCTTTGTTTCAATGGGCATTAGTAGCACTTGGAGCAAAGCCTGGAGCGAGTGTGCTGACTTGTGTGAACCAGGACATCATAGATCTTTTTGTCCCTACTCTGACTGACAATATAGTGTTGGATAAAGTGACATTTTTGAAAGACAGTCGATTACTAGGCTCCTGGGTGGTGTAAACTGGACTTGTCTGTTAATCTAAAGGTTCAAACCCACCAGTGGTATGACAGAAGATGTAGCTAAGTGCAATTACGTCAGTCCTGACTCATAGCAACCCTATACAGGATTTCTGAGGAGTGGCTTGTGAGTTTGAACAATCACCCGTGCGGTTAACAGTCCGGTGCTTATCTCACAGTGTCACAGCAACTTCGTGTTAATATGCTGCACTTCAAGGTCTAGTTGAACTTCAAGGTCAAGATCACCAATCGCTTCTTGGAAACTGTATACAGGGTCGCTGTGAGTCGGAACTGATCCGACGGTACTTAACAACAAGAAATAAATGATCACAGATCTTGGACGTATGTCTCTTCTTACCAACTGTGGACTTGGACAAGCTACTTAACCACAATGAGTCTCAGTTTCTCATCTGTAAAAGGGGATAATCATTTCCTTATAGGGTTCACATGAGGATTAAAAGAATGGAATATGTAACATTCTTAGCAGAGTCCCTTAAGAAATGTATTCTTTGTTATTTTTGCATCATATTATTGATATAAATCTTTGCATTGTGAAGATATAACTTAAAAGTAATTGCCTTCAGCACTGGAGTTTGTAATCTGCCATTTGAACTTGATACAGTATGTGTTTTATAAAGCGCTCTGGTCCTATTTCATAGCACTCTGGTCCTATTTCATAGGTTTAGAAAGCTGCCTTCTGTGGCAACCTTTAATAATATTAAAGACGAGTGTGCATGTAACATAAATAAAAAGTCTCTAATAATCTAACAGCCCTGCTATGGTGGTGTAGGATAAGCAATGGACTGGTAACTGCAAGGTCAGCAGTTCAAACCCAACAGCTGCTCTAGGAAACCCTACAGAGGGTCACTATGAGTTGGAACAAATTAGCGAACACAACAACAACAACAACAATAATCGAACTGCTGACAATAATTAACTTAAGCTATAATAGTGTAGTGGTTATGAGCCGGGCTTCTAATCTCACTGTCAGCAGATCTACCAGCGGTTCCACAGGAAAAACATGAGACTCTCTGCTCCCATGAAGATTTACAGCCTTAGAAACCCTATATAGGGTTCCTATGAGTCGAAACGACTCTACGGCACACCACTACCACTGTAATCATTTTTTAAGGGCCTGTCAAATTAACTCAATCTTGGAATTTTATTAGGACACCAAGCCATGCATGTGGAGCCTGACCTAAGGACACAGCTACTTTCTATTTCAATATATATTTATTTTTGTTTTTTAAGAGCTTTGAAGAGACATAATTGGTATGTAAAGTTGTTTTGAATCCCAAGGTCAGCAATTTAAGCTCATCAGCTGCTCCTCAAAGACCCTATACAGTGTTGTTATGGGTGGGAATCTACTCCACAGCACTTAGTAACAACAACAGCAACAAGGTACACTAATTTGAGTGTACATTTTGCTCAGTTTTGACATACATATGTTGCTGGTTTTGTTAGTTGCCATTGTAATGGCTCCAACTCATGGAAGTTTACATACAATAGGACAAATAATTGAATATAATTGAAATAATTAAATATACTGTCCATATAATGGGATGAAACCATCACCACATCAACATAAAGAACATATCCATGTCTTCTCAAATGTTTCCTCCTGCCCCTTTGTAATCTCTCCATCTCTCTCCCTCCTCTCTACCACACCCTTCCACCCACACTACCGATGATCTGCTTTTGGTCACTGCAGATTAATTTTTCTGTTTAGACGAGAAGATATGCCTTTAAGAAGCTGAAGGAACTCCCAACAGTAAGTATAGAACCCCAAAGAAAATCACCAAGACGTATTATAATTAAACTTTTGAAAACCAGAGACAAGGAAACAAACGTGAGAACAAACTGGAAAAAACGAAAAGTTATTTATAAAGGAGAACTAATAAGACTAAGCTCTGATTTCTCAGCTGAAATCACACAGGCAAAAAGATAATGGGTGGCATTTATAAAACCGGGAGAGAAAAAACCTACCAACCAAGAATCATCCCTCCAGAAAAATTGTCTCTCAAAGATAACATCTAAATTATGACATTTCTAGGTAAACAGAAAATAAAAGAATTTCTAAAAACCAGATCAATCTTATAAAAATACTAAAGGGGATTCTTTGGACAAAGAACCAACAATGGTAGACAACGGAAAAATTGTCTCTCAAAGATAACATCTAAATTATGACATTTCTAGGTAAACAGAAAATAAAAGAATTTCTAAAAACCAGAGCAATCTTATAAAAAATACTAAAGGGGATTCTTTGGACAAAGAACCAACAATGGTAGACAACAACGTGAGATTAACATACATGAAAATATCACCCAGAATTCAACCCAGATATAGAAACATCCAAAATAAAACAAACCTAAAAGACTGAAGGAAGGGAACCAAAGATATCAGTTTGCAACAACAACAAAACCCTCACAAAGTATAAAGAGGGAATAATGTAGTTATAGACTTCCAAGTAAAGAGAAAATCAAGTAGATTTCAACAACAACGAAAATAAATAAATAAACCTAACTGTAACCCTAAAAACACTAAAGAACACTCCCCCCCCCAAAAAAAAAACCCCTAGATCAAACCCTACTCCTGTAAAACGGGGTTAATGCATTTATATCTACCTGAGGTGGTGGAGGAGGGGGCTTTTAAAGAGGATTAAATCCAATTGTGTTCCTAAGAGCTCAGCACAGTGCTTATTGCATTAGAAGCTCTCTGTAAATGACAGCTAGTAATGACAGCAACAGTAATGATAACACCAGTTCCCAAGGGTTTCAGAGCAAAGACAGAACCCCAGGCATTTGACACATGCTTGTCAGGTGCCTAAAAGGGCTCCTGAGAAAACTTGATTTCTCTAGTGGAAGCCTAGTGGAGAAATTCAATCCCTCTTAATCCTCTCTCAATACCCCATTGTCCCATGAGTTCTGGTCTGAACCAGGACTTCATCTTCCACTCACATCTTGGATTTGAATCTACAGTGAATGGCTTCAGAGATGCAGAGTAATAGACAAGTCAGATCAGATGTTCTTGGGATTCTCTATGAATTAGGTAGGGAAGACCTGAAGTAGAATGTTTTCTGGGGGAAAAAATGGAGCGAAAACCTAGCCTGATGTCTAGGGTGTAAAGCAAAGTTCTCTTTCCTTTTCGCACTAGTGCCCTGGAAGCTAATGTTGAACTCAGCTTTCTAAGATTAGAGACCCTCATATCTAATAAAAGGTATTGCTACTATACAGTGCCACAAAAGCGCCTGGGACTTTTCACCCTTACACTTGAGGCATGCAGAGTTTAAAAATCCTGCTCAGGATAGAGCACTCTGCAGACAGCTGGTATAGGTTTCTGTTAAACACAAGAGTTGGCATTATCCTCTTGCTACTGACAGTCAAATTCCACCTTCAGGAACCGAGAGTCCTGGGCACAAAACAGAAGCAGGGGACTCCTCAGGTTCTAGATTCAGAGTCATCTGCCTACCTTTTTTGAGTTCTGATGTGGTGCTGCAGGCCAATGCGCTAGACTTCAAAGTCAGTTTGAACCACAAGGTCGGCAGTTCAAGCTTACCAGTTGCTCCTCGGAAAGCCTACACAGGGTTGCTATTAGTTGGAACTGAGTTGACAGTACTTAACAACAACATAGTTCCAAACCAAAACCAAACTCACTGTCCTGGAGTTGATTTTGACTTACAGGGTTTCTGAGGCTGTAAATCTTTGTAGGAGCAGAAAGCCTCATCTTTCTCTTATAGGACCAGGTCACACTTATTCCCTGATAAATCCCAGGTGTTAATAGCATCTCTTACCTTATATCTTCCATGTGATGTCCTTGGATTTAAATTCTTTGAAGATAAAATCCAGAAAGTATGCTATTCTGGAGGCACATTTTATATCGACAATCTAGTAGGTCCCCAGCAATTTTTAATATGGATGGTTATGGATATCCATAATATCAAATTGAAATTAAAATAGCCATGTTACATTAATTTCATAAATAATTTATTTTCCAAGGTATAAATTTAAATAAAAAAAAAATAACAATGCATAAATTAATTTTTAAAAAAAAGTCTTAATTGTCCTTTCAATGGCAGTACATTGGCTGTCAGCCACTTGAAGAATCTCTCTGGCTAGAGAATTGTCCACATTGTCCAGTCCCAGAGGCACAAGTTAAAGGAGCCTCAATTGTGGAGGAAACCTGTGAGTCTGATAATGAAGGAAAGGTTCCTGAGGATTTCTATTTGGACTACAGTCCAGGAACAATTGCTGAAGCCCTTGGCTTTCAGGTACCGGACAATCCTCAAATAATAGTTCTTCAGGCGCAGAATTGTCACCATGTTTTCCCACACGGAGTTTTCTTTCTCCATGTTTTCCTCCAGGGTTGTCTCCAGATGGTCCATCTGCTGATAGAGTTCAGCTGAAAGATTCTCAATGATGGTCTTATTCCAGCCAGTACTGGAGAAATCTCTTCTTAAAATACCAAAGATTTGCTGTAACATCTCATAGATGATCAGTGCGGTGTCCTCCTTCTGGAAATGCTGTGGTTGCCTAATCTCCTCAGGGAACTTGAAGTCCATCCTGTCCTTGAGGCAAAATTCAGGGGTCCCATTCAGCTGCAGTAGAAGCTTCAGACACGCCAAATTGCTGCTTTTTTGTTGGAAATAAAGCAAGTTGTAGCTCCCGGAAAGCGTTGTGGTGGAGAAGCACAGCAGGAGAGTCACTTGGAGGATGTACCTGGTGGTCATGATGAAAACAGGAGCAAAGTTGCCTAATGCTACCTGCACTTCCAGTGAAGTCTTCAAGAGTCTGCTTGTGAGTGGCCATCCTCCATGGGTATGGGCTATTTATATGGGATAGTAGCACTGTCCTTCTATTGCTGAGGAATTTCCCACTTTCACTTCTCCCTTTCAGTTTTCCTATGTCACTTAGTAATATGGTCATTCTTAAAATTGTTAAATCACATTGAAATCATTTTATACTTTTTAATAAAAAATGTGTAACACTCTTTTTTATAAATCCCTTACTGTTTTGTTACATATATATATGTATATATATTGTGTGTGTGTGTGTGTGTTTGAGAAAGAGATACACAAACTGAAGATTTCTGATGTTTTGTAAAGTTTCAGTGAATTGCTAAATAAAAGTTAGTAAGACAAAACCATTGAGAATTGTACTATTGTAGGGAACATAACTTTGACAAGGATTCTTTGTTGGTATTATGAGATCTACTTTTTGCCTTTGTGTATCTAGAAGTTACATTTTTCATAAGAATTAGATTTAATTCCCCATCACACTATCACAAACAATAAGAATATGCAGCTTATGATTTTTTAAAAGAAGGACACCTAATTTTCTTATCTAAAATAGAATAGTGTCAAACCAAGTTCACCTGAATATTTTTTTGTAGGACCTTAATCATGCATCACATAGCTAATAATTTACCTGAAAATATCAAATATCTGGACATCAACTGAAAGCCACGGATACCAAGATCTCTGAAAAGATAAAGTGAATGTTACACAGCTCATGCATAAAAGCTGATGGTTTTGCTCATAAAGGTGTCTTTGAAAAAAATGTTTTTTTCCCTCAAAAAGTTTGTGGAAAAAAGTTTATTAAAATTTTTTTTTAAAACTGGTTAACTATAGATAATGGTTATGGGGGCTTTTGACAATTATTTAGGACCTATTTATTCTGACTCAGTACATACTTCTTTTTTTTTTTTTCCAATTGACTTGGAATCAACTCCAAAACATGATGATCTCATCCATGTCAGAGTAGGTCTGTGCTCCACAAGGTTCTCAATGGCTGGCTTTTCAGATGTAGAATGCCAGACCTTTCTTCCAAGTTGCCTTTTGGTGGATCTAAACCTCCATCCAACATTTTGTTTGGCAGCCAAGTGTGTTAGCTATTTGCATCACCCACAGCACCACATCAGAGGTTTCAAATTAATTAAAAACAAAATTTTCCCTAAAAGCAGTAGACACCATGTAAACATTTTAAGCTAGGTGGCATTAATTTGATAGATAATTTTGGGAAAAAAATATGACTTGGGCTATGCAGAACAAAAAGTAATGGAGAGAGGACGGAATTGATTCAGTTAGGGGAGTTAGCAATTCTTTAGACCAGAAGGCTGGTGGTGAGAAGGAGAGAACTGAATGATTCATCTCTGTAAAATCTCTCACACCCTGACAGCAATACATCAGATGCTTGGAAAAATTCTCCATCATTTTACTGAGAGCTGAATTCGTTTCATTAATTTGATCATTTCAAGACATGCTTATAGGTTGTTATTGTTGTGTTGTTGGGTCGGTTCCGACTCAGAGCAACCCTTTTCTTCATGAAAACAGAAAGCCTCATGTTTCTCCTGCAGAACAACTGGTGGGCTCCATACTTGGACTTTGTGGTTCGCAGTCCAGTGCTTATCACATAAAGTCATTGCACTCACATACGTTTATATACATGGGCATTAATTCTCTTTTAAAAAGCTGAACTAAAGACTGGATGTATCTGGGTAAATGTGTGTTTATAAGCTTGGAGAAATCTTTAGCTACAGGTTTCCCATTTCTATAGATTGCCTATTCTGGTAGCATAGTGGTTACAAATCAGGCTGCTAATCTCACGGTCAGCAGTTTGAAATTACCAGTTGTTCCATGAGAGAAAGATGAGGCTTTCTGCTCCCATAAAGATTTTCAGCCTTGGAAATCCTGTACAAAGTCGCTATGAGCCGGAGCAGACTCCACGGCACATAACAACAGCAATCTTTATGGTATTATTAACCTATCTCCCAAACTTTCCTCTTTTACTATTCCTTGTTGTTTTTGTTGTGACGTGCCATTGAGTGAGTCGATTCTCATTCATAGCGACTCTGTATAGGGTGTCTGAGGCGTTACTGCTGGGTTTGAACCGCCAACCTAGTGGTTCGCAGTCCAGTGCTGATCCTACAGCATCACTCTCTCCAGAAGGGATTGTCTTTTCTTGAGATTCTATAAAGCTAATTGCCTTGAACTATGCTGATGTTCTTAAGCTACATTGAGTCTGTTCTGACGCATAGTAACCCTGTATAGGGTTTCTAAGGAGAGGCTGGTAGGTTTGAATTGCCTATTGAGGTTAGTAATCCAGCGCTTATCCCACAGCGCCACACTAGGACTACTGTGCCGATATTTGTTGTTATGTGCCGTGGAGTTGGTTCCGACTCATAGCGGCCCTGTACAGGGTTTCCGAGGCTGTAAATCTTTACGGGAACAGAACACCTCATCTTTCTGCTCCCGTAAAGACCCTGTAGAAACTCTGAGGGTTGAACTCATTGTGGGACTAAAAAGTCTCTTCCTTCTCCCATGGAGTGGTTGGACGTTTAGTACCACCAACCTTGTGGCTACAAGTCCAGTGCTTATCCTATGTTGCCACCATGCCTACACTGACCTCTCAATGGGGTGGAAAAGAGATAATTTATCTTTCCTTCTAAAACTGATGCAGGGAAAAGATGTCGTTATCACTCATTCAAATGAATGAATAATATTGATAGTTGGAAAGAATCAGTGGACAAGCAAAACAACATGTGGAGGGGCTTCTGGGAAGATGGCAGTGTATCAGCATAGACTTTGAATCTCCCTGAGACCCCCACATCAGAAGACCCAGCAATTAGACAGACCAAAATCTCATGTATGACAAAACTGGACAACACACACCACAACAATACAAGCAGTTGAGGACAAACCATCGATCAGCACAAGGCCTTCATGATAGGAAATAACAGGGGACCATGGAGCCTAGAACCCCCAAACCCGAAAATAGCCTAGAGAAATTTACTAGAAGGTGTCCTTGGGCCTTACAAACACTTAAAGTGCCAGGCTACCTGAGAGGTTGGACGTTGGAGTCTATGCAGTGGTACCTCAAGCAGGGCTTGGCAATCTACTTCTGAAAACTCAACCGTTGAAAATATCATGGAACAGTTCTACACATGGAATCACCATGTGTCAGAATTGACTTGAGGGCAAAAATGTTTTTTTAATCTACTGGAAGTTCAGGAAGACTCGTCTTAGAACCATAGATGGAAAGGATTTTACCTAGTGCAGTCGTCACAGGTTGTGTGTGAGGGTACTAGAGTCCTCTGGGCTGTGTGAAAATTTCAAACCAACCAGCCACAACTCCCTTTTGGGAGAGGGGCCTACACTGAGGAAGAGCTCTGGGAATGAGATAAAATTTGAGCAGGATAGAACCAACAGAGACAAAGAGAAGGCCAAACCATTGTCGGGTAAGAAACAGACAACTCAAAAATCAAGTGGCCATTTTTTTGAATGTTTCACAAAAGCAACAGAAGAGGGAGCTCTGTGAAGTTAACAATGCTGTCCTGAACTACTCCTTCATCCAAAAGTTCAGGAAAAACAACCTCATAAAAAATCCGGTAACAGAAAAGTAGTAAAATTGAATCTCATATACAATTATTCTAAGAAACAAAGATTAGGAGCCAAACAATTTCTCTACAGATAATGAAACTACACTAAGAACCCATAAGATAGATCACAATTGTAACGTATGACTTTCAAAGGTACTTAAAAATACTTCAAAGTGGTATAAAAAACTAAATGAGAATTAGGTAAAAAAAATTCGTAAATAAGGTAATAGATAAAGGAATTTTAAATACAAGGAAAAAATGTTCCTCGAGTTTACAGAATAAGATAAAGTCTCAGGAAATAAAAAAATCTGAGGAAACCTGGCACTGAAGAAAAGTTTCAAAGTGAGAATACAAAATAAATAAAATAGTAGCAGCTGGACTGCTAACCACAAGTTCAGTGGTTCAAACCTACCAGTCGCTCCTCGGAAACCCTATACAGGGTCACTGTGAGTCGGACCTGACTGGATGGCACTCAACAATAACAACAACAAAGAATCAAGTGGTATATAAAATGAGCATATATTGAACAAGGAATTGCTTCAAGGAAAGTGGGACTGTTTCAATATTATATTATTGTCCATGTTCTTTGGACATGTTTTCAAGAAAGACTAGTTCCTGCAGAAGGACATCATGTTTGGTAAAGGAGGGCAACAGTGAAAAAGTGGAAGACTATCAATGAAATGTATTGACGCAGTGACAGAAACACTGGGCTACACACAGAACAATTGTGAGGATGACACAGGACCTGGCAGTGCTTTGTCTTGCCTTACATAGTGTTGCTGTGAGTGGGAGCTGACCTGATGGTACTAACAACAACAGCAACAACATTAAGTGCCATTGAGTTGATTCTGACTCAGAGCCACCTGTAAAGGGGTTCCAAGGAGCGGCTGGTGAATTTGAAATGCCAACCTTTCAGTTCAAACTGACCTTGCTGTCCACTGTTTATCTATACCAGGGCTAAAAGATCAAATAATCCAAATGGACAAGAAACCTGGGTATTTAAATATATATGTTGGAGTAATGCAAAAATGGATCTGGTGTGGCACTGTAGGATAATCACTGGACAGCTAGCCATAGAGTGGTTGGTTCAAACCCACCGGCCGCTCCTTGGAAACCCTATATAGGGTTGCTACAAGTCAGAACTGGCTTGACAGCACTTAACAACAACAATGCAAAAGTGGCACAGAGATGGTGACTGACCACCTCTGATTACACAAGGAGAATCAAACTCCACATCAATGCAAAGTTAATTCTTATGAGGCAGAGATGAGCCATGCCTCTACCCTACAACCTTGTTTCCCAATTCTGACACCAGTCATCCCTTCTGGGGCACTCTGCTTCTCTGATGGGCTT